GTGTTTCGTTCGGTTCATGCGCTGCTCCTTTTTCTTATAGGCGAAGCGTTTACACTCCAGAGCAGAAGGTGGCGGTACTGCGACCAAAGCCAACCACCAGTAGTAAACAAGAAGAAGAAGAAGCGAAGCAGCGTAGCCGGGTGTAGCAGAAAAAAATCCGTTGTTGTGGAGAATTGTGTGGGTATGGCGAGTGGGAAAGAACAGGAGTTGGAAGACGCGCCAGCAGCACTTTGTAGGTCTGCTGTATGGGACCACTTTGCATTTAGAGTGACCTACGATGAGCAATCAACGAAAGTTGTGGATAAAAGTGCAACAGTGTGCAAGCATTGTGCAACACGTTTTGTTTATGCTAACAGCAACACGACCAACATGTCAGGCTAACCCCGAAATCCCTCATACTCCGTCAGCACTCCGCCCCGCTGCGCTCCAGACCGGCTGCTCAAAGCAAAGCCTACAGCCTCCACTGTGGCTCCCGTCCGCTCCGCTCTGAGTCCCTTGGAGATGGTAGAGGGCATGCGCCAGATGATTAAATTCAAAGCAGCAAAACATGCAGAAATGATCCAGGGTTTCAGTGGATCATTAAAAATAATTGCAATTCATTCATTTTTTTTTTTGTTCATTAATTTCATTAAACTTTATGGGGTTTCGGTGTAACAATCAACATATACCGAACCAAACCGAAAACCGTGACCACGAAACCGTGAATTTTGTGAACCGTTCCACCCCTACTGTAGTCCATTTCCTGCACACCCCTGTGCACGGTGGCTCTGGACGTTTCTACTCCAGACTCTGTCCACTAGGGGTGTAAATCACATCCATCATGGCGATTCGATTCAGTATCGATTTCCTGACCCAGCGATTCGATTATTTTCGATACTCAAGGATACACCACGATACGATTCAATTAGATTAATCTGTAAAATTTTTTTTTTTACACCTTACAGGCTAAACAAAGTTTCAAGTTTGAAATAAATCAATGAAAGCTGTAATATCGTTATGAATTTATTTGTTTTTTAGAAACAATAGCAAAATAAAAAGTTGCATCAAAAATAATGCAAAAATACTGCACATAATCAGTGCAATGAGTGGGCAAAATAGGTTTAGCGCCACCGCAGCACGGGAGGGAGAATTACACCCAGGAGCAAATGGATAAAAATAGACCGGAGGGAAAAAAAAACATGAATCGATTCTCGTGCGGACGTGTCGATGCATCGGATCGTCGGCTGTTGGATCGATGCATCGATACAAAACGATTATTATTTACACCCCTACAGTCCACTGCTTCTGCAGGTCCCCCAAGGTCTGGAATCGGCTCTCCACAATCGTCCTCAGGGTCCGGTCTCCTCTTCTTGTTTTCTGCCACTATTTCCTTCCCACTGAGGCGCCTTGATGCAGCAGCACTCTGGGAACAGCCTATTGGTTCAGAAACATCCTTCTGTGTCATTCCCTCAATGGGGTCAATGATGGCCTCCTGGACAGCAGTCAGGTCCGCAGTCTGACCCATGATTGGGGTTCTGACTGATGAACCAGGCTGGGAGTTTTAAAGGCTTCAGGAATCTTTTGCAGGTGTTTAGAGTTAAATTGTTGATTCAGATGATCAGGTGCATAGCAGCTCGTTTACAGACCTTTATCATGATACGCTAATTTTGTGAGATAGGTATTTTGGGTTTTCATGAGCTTTATGCCGAAATCATCCACATTAAGACAGTAAAAGACTTTAAATATTTCGGTTAGTGTACAATGGATCTAAAATATATGAATGTTCATGTTTTATCATTACATTATGGAAAATAATGAACTTTTCAATATGCTAATATTTTGAAAAGGACCTGTATTCTATTTTTTTTTTATATTTATTTAAAAATTTTATGTATAACATGGATGCATAAAAACCAAATTTTATTTCAGTGTTAAATTCTGTTTAAAGTAACAGATTATGGTTGATTTTCCTAATTCGGACCCCGCTGATTTAATTGGTTACCCCTGGTATAGACTTTTCTTAAAGGAAAATCAATTGTATTTATAGTTTCATTAGCGAACCTGATGGAGGCCTTATGTAGGTAAGAAATGAACAGTTTTAATTACCGTTCTACAGACTGTGTTAATTTGGTCCTGAGCTATTTATTCCTCTTTAGTGCGTTGGTTAGAAATAATTTATAGGCTCCATATGAAGTTCATAACATGGTCCCTGTATGTGAGTTACGCAAGTCGTGCAGTGATGGCTTCTTCCTGAGGGGAACATTGTGTGTCTCTGCAGCGATTGTCCTCTTTTGTGTCAGGTCTCTAAGCGGAGCTCACATTAATATGATAAAAGGAGGAGGAATTTGCCCAGAGCTGAGAGACGACCCTCGGCGTTCATTGTCTTAATGTCCCGGCTCCACAAAACAAGCTGTAAATCAGAGCGACGTTCGACAGCTCATCTAATTGAAAAAGGAAACACGGCTCTGACCTGTTAGAGCCTCTGTGTCTGATCTCATTCTGTTCCTTCACACCTTTCAGCCAAATATAAAGTGTAAATATTCAGCGTCGGGCCAGTGAAGAATGAAGGCTTATGGCAGGACTGTGATGTTGAGGCAGTGCAGCTTTTCTGCCGTTTCAAGGACCTATTTGGAGCATCTCTGCTTTTTTTTTAGTTGTTTCCTCATCCAAAAGTTAACAAATCTCCCTGAAAACAATTTTATAAAAACTCTTAGGACCATTCAAACCAAAAAGATTCATTTATTAAATTAGACACTGTGGGAAAAATCAACTGGTTGCTCAACTATATAAATTGGTACATGTCCTGATTCTGTGTTGTTGACGCTGTTAGATATCACAATAGAATAATGTTTTTTGTTTTATTTAAAATTCTCCTATGTTTTGTGCTTTTCATTTAAAGGTTTACTCAGGATATGAGAGCTCAATCAAAATGAAGCCGGTGGGGGGGGGGTCTGAAATACTCAAGCGAGTTAAGCTAACTCTCCAGCCTGTCGTGTTTAACCAAAGTCTTCAATTCAGTTTATTGCTAAGGAAAAGCAGTTGATTGCATCGACTAATTGACTCTTCAGCAATCCCTCACACTAAGCATGCTTGTAGCGACAGTGGAGAGGAAAAAACTCCCTTTGAACAGAAAGAAACCTCCAGCAGAACCAGGCTCAGTGTGAGCGGCCATCTGCTGAGGCCCACTGGGGTTCAAGGAGACAGAAGTATTATACTCTATTAGGTCTTGACTTTAACCTGAACCAAGGCTCCACCTTAATCAGGTTTATTTTAACTACTGTTGGAAAAATGCAGTGGTTGTTAATCCAGGTCCAGAAAGTAAAAACCTGTCTTGTTTTCCTTCATCCTGTTCACTTCAGCAGGCAATTAGTCACTCGGGTGATTAAGGCCTGGTTATTCTCCAGCAGCAGTGTGCCGTAGTTAGCTAGTCGCAGATATTTTTTTAATTTATTCCCAATTCTGAAGCATGGTCTGCGCTATGTTATTCCACGCCACAATGCAAGAGGGACAATCAGGAACTACCTAGGATTTTGGGTGTCTGTCGCTGCTTGACACACAGTTCACATGTGAGTGTTCCCCAAAGACTGACCGTGGCGCTGCGTGTTTTGGCTTCGTGTGCAAACCAACAGACCGTCACACAGAGCTACAAACTAGCGTCCTGCACGGTGTCTGGAATAGTGTCCGAATTGTGCCAGGCGTTGTGGACGGCACTACGGCCAGAGTTTCTGCCATTAGGAACCAAACAGGAAATACGCATAGAGTAGAGCAGGTGTAGAACTGACCGATCAGATGCCTCCTGTCTGCGGCACTGTTTGCGGTCACCTACAGTTTTGGGGAGGTGCAGCAGAGTGTCTGCGGAAGGAGGGGGGGGGGTTATATCTGCATTGCCTGAGACTCACACACAGACAACCTGGTTTCTGAGCTTAAACTAAGTTTTAGTCTGCATTAGGGAGCTGGAGATGCAGATGGTTGGAACTGATCAGCCAGGGCTAACGTCAGCCCGTCTGCAGCAGCCAGGGCTAACGAGTCCACACTTTCTTGGGTTCTTCTCAAGAACATACTTGTCGAGGACATGAGTGCGTCCTTGCGTTCTTGTCAATTTAGAAACGGCCATGGTCACTAGACGAGCATATATATCCCAGAATCCTTTGCCAGAGCTCTCCTCACAAAGCATCATGGGATTTAGTTTGGGAGTGAGAACAAAGATGGTGCAAGCGCCAAGCTGGAAGCCAGAGTCACGTGAGCAACGGGGAGAGAAAAGTAGTGATCATCTGTCCGGTCGGTTGGTTAACTGAGTTCACTATAAAGTTCACTATAAATTCCCCGCTCTATAAAGTGTTTGAAGGGTTAGGACGGACGCTCAGACACAGTCTGTTTCTATTTACTCTTCAGCTTTGTTGTCATTTATATAAATCCCAAATAGCTGAAATGTTAAAATGTCACCAAAACAGTTTTAGCAGAGATATAATTTCTGACAGGAATAGTTGAATCTTATTTATTTTATCACAGCTGTTTATGATCTGACAATAAACTACTCACTGGTTAAATATATCATTTAGAAGAAGGAATTACTGTCAATGAGGCTAAAGTCCAGCTATCAAATCATCAGGTAAGTTTTATCAGTAGTTTGTTGGAGAACATAGAAGTTTAAAGATGTAAAAACCTCACTGTTGATGAATAAACCAAAATACAGGATAAAATCTGAATCATTTTACCGTAATATTTCTCAGTGTTTCTGGATCGCTGACATTCTTCTAACAGCTGAGACCCCCCCCCTTCATGCTGCTGGGGGGGTCCATATTGGATGCAGAACAGTTCTTTTTTCAAACCTGCTTAAAATTATGATTTTTTTTATTGCAGTTTTTTTGTACATTTTTTTGCTGAATAGTTCTATATAATTTTTACAAATATCTAAAGGAGCAGAGGTTTTATGGTGAATTAATGTAACGAAGGAGGAAGATTTTCTAAAGTTCCTTTTATCCAATATTTACGTTTTTTTCTTTTCTGTTCCCGTCCTCCAGATGCAAGTTCTTCAGTTTGACAGAGACTCCAGAGGACTACACAATCATCGTGGACGAGGAAGGGTTTAAAGGTGAGCCCCTCGCCGTGGATCGCTGTGGCAACCACAGATTGGGCTGCAGGGAAGGATCACATCGTGTTTTCTCTGATTGCACCCAGCCCCGCCGCGGCTTCAGCTGCCACTGTTTGAGCACACTTTGTGGTTATAGATGGGAGGCCAATTGGGCGCTCGCCGTTCTTTGTGGTTGGCTGAGTGAATGAATCCATGTCATTACACTGCCTTTTCCACCGTGACCCTCCGTGGTTACTCTGGAGACCACATGCTGTGTGTTGCATAACTGCTGCAGGTATTTTACACTGATCGGTGCCTCAGAGTCTGCCTGTGTGTGTTTTGTTGGACTAAGAAAAGGGGTTGAAACACAAGCAAGCCGTGTCAGATGACATCAGGTAAACGGGACGCACGTTTCTGACCCCAACATGGAGAGAATGAGGCCTGTTGGTCCTGGGTTGTTATCATGAAGGAGGCGTTAGATTCTAAGCCGCTTTAATGATTATCTACTTGATTTCTGGAAGACATCTGCTGTTATTCTGAAACTTCCCCCAGCTTTTAGTAATATGAGATTTTCTATCATGCAGAAGATGAATAAAAGCATTAGGGTTGCCCTAATCAGTTAGCTAACTAATCAGAATATGGCAACTTCCCCTCAAACTGGTAATCAGCTGCTCAAATACCAGGAAATCAGCTTGTTTTGTCCTTTTTATAAATTCGTAGGGAAGTCATATTTAAATGTCAAATTATTCTGACTTAAAACATGTACGGCTGGAAGCCTTCTACTCCAAACCAAGCTTCTGCCGCCCTGGCGTCCTCTTCCACAACATCTTCGTCCCCGCTTTCCTCCTCTAAATAAAAAATGGATGACGGAGGAGACTCATCCCAACCTCCGACACTAAACTCTCCTCCTCTGTTTTATGTGTTGCCTTCTCAGTTCAGAGGGCCCCCTGGCTGTCTTTGTCTAGGGCCCCAAATTTCCTAAATCTACGTATATATCTATATGGAAATATCCTTGTCTGCCTGATATTCATTACCGTGGCAAATAAACATCTTGAGCAAAAATGAAATAAAAAAACTTGAGTTCTAAAAGCCAAAAATACTGGCAGCATTCAGGTTAGACATTGTGGAGAGCAGAGCACTCGGACAAATACTGCAAAGGAACAAAACTGACTTTCTGGTTCAGATATCTGGATGACATTTAGGTCAATATCCAAACCCAGGAAGGCGAGACATTCGCAAACCTCATCAACTGGACAGAAACGTCAAATTCACAGGAGGGGATACCAAAAATAAAATGTCGCCTTTTCTGTCCTCCATGGTCTGTGATCTGGAAATCTTAATGCCTACTGGAAACATACAGATTCATCCCTATATTTGTGTTTTGCTCTTGAACACAAGCTTTCTGTTATCAGAACTCTGAGTTACCAGGCTGACAATGTTCCTTCAGTTGCAGAGGAGAAACAAAAAGATCACAAACATGTCAGGAAATCCCTTGAAGCATTTGGTTATCCTAACTGGGCATTTATGTCGGCCAGAAAAATGCAGCAGGGAAAACAACAGAGAAGGAGAAATGCGAAAATATTGTAATTCCATAAGTGCTGAGAAACTCGGAAGAATTTTATCGTAACATGAATTTCACACCTGAAAGCTCGAACTGTTTCGTCCCAAAGACAGAAAACATAAACTAAAGCTGCTTGGCGTTGTTTACGGGCGCCGCTGTAGGAACCAGATCTGCTCGGGTCCTGCTTCATACCAGTGATGTTGCCCTACATGATTGGCTGAAGATTGCCACATGATGTAGAACATTGTGGTTGCCCAGACAACGATAACATCACGCAGCATCAGTGCCGAGTCGGTAGCATCTGTAGCATTAGCGTGTCTATTGACCGATGAAGTTTAACCTGATTCATAACAAAGCTGAAAAAATTCTGTTTCCGGTGAACAAAGAACGCACAAGTCTGCTCTGATGCATGCTCGATAAAGAGGGCGGGGCGAGAACAACGTCCGGGGATTTGGTGCGTTCTCGATCTGGCGTTCTTGAGAATTGGAACGGTACTCGGGCTGAGGCTGATGACGTGTCACGAGTACACGAGCACACGAGAACGCTCAAGAACGCATATTGAGAAACGGCCTATATGTACGAGTGGAGTTGCCATATGTTGACGTCATAAGAAGGGGCGGGGCCCCGAGCAGTTCTGGTACCTACCGGCACCTACCCAGTGTTGAACAACTGGGCTTGGACTGGAGATTGCTTAGATTTCTCTTAAAGTACTACAACTCATAGAACTCATTTCTGAAAACGTAAATGTTTTTTTATATGAAAATGGGTTTTATATAAAACCCACATTTCTGAAGGTAAAGCTGAACGCAAACTTCTGACTTCAACTGGATCTGCAGAGGACATAAAAATACAGTATTTAGTAAATTTGGAAACCAGGAATCTAATTTTATTTAATAAGCTTCTGCCAGTCATTGGATTCTCTTTGAAACAGTGAACATCTCTGCTGTCTGTCCTTTTTCCTCAGAGCTGCCGCAGTCAAATCTCATCAGTGTCGCTGATGCCACATGGCTGGCCCTCAACGTGGTGTCAGGCGGCGGTAGCGCTTCCAGCTCACAACCCATCGGAGTCACCAAAATCGCTAAATCAGTCATCGCTCCACTAGCCGACCACAACATCTCTGTTTTCATGCTGTCAACGTATCAGACTGACTTCATCCTGGTAAGTTTCCGGACCCGCTTAGGTGCCTTCTGAATGATTTTGCAGGGCCTCTGCTTTAAGAGATTTTCTTCACGAAGTCGGAACCCCTGCAGGTCTGGTCCTGTGTTTTCTGAAGGAGCTGTTTCACTCTGAACATGGCAGCCAGTGTTTGCTTAATAATTTATAAAATAAGTAAGTTGAGGAAAAGTTTCAGGGTTCTGGAAAGAAGGTAGAATCCATAAGTTTCATCAGAGAGGTACTGAATGTCAATAAGCTCGGGTCAACCATCCAAGGTGTTTAGATTTTACCGTAGAGGCTAGAACGGTGCAGGAATGGACAAGATTGGATTGAGATGAAGGATTTTAAGCCTTTTGTTCTCCTGGTAAAGTAACGCTGCTTTCA